ATAAGTTTTATTAAGTTTTTATTTGTAAAATAAAATGTTATATTTCATGGTTAAAAATATGCTGGTGAATAATAAATATTTATTGTATATTCTTTTGGAAAAGTATTCAATTACTCATTTAGCCGATAACAAAATGGTTTCATTACACGAAAAATTAAAGGAGTAATTCCATGTCTTTCAAATATTGTCTAAGAAATAATGTTTCTTTTCGTTAAGCAATAATGAATCATTCTTATTGTCTGTTTAATGACAAGATTTCATCTATTCATATAGTCTACTTTAAAATTGTAGTTACACAATTTTTGTAGTTAAAATTGTAATTATATTTTTAAGTGTATTTTGTATAATATATTATTATTAAATGTATTTTCATATAATTTAAAATATTATTAATAAATATATCTTTGTATAACATTATTACTCAAATGTATTTTTTATTAAATTACATTTACTTATTTTAATATTATATAGAATATTTTTTTTCATGGACTTACTCTGTCAATTTATGAAAAATATGATTAACGATTTATCTTTTTTTTTATCTAGTATATATTTTTAGAATTAAAAATGTGATTATATTTTTAAGTCTCACAGGTTAAATGAATATTCAATTAAAAAATAACTATAGTTTAATTTAAAACAAGAAAATGAATCTTTCTCTTGACACGCTTATAAATTTTTTTTTTAACTTAGATTTTGGCTTGCGAAAAATTTATTCGAAGCTCTTATTGGTAAATTGAATGATCGATCAAAAACTGGTTTTAATATTTTCATCTTATTAAAATTCTGTATCTATTTTTGACTTCTCTCTATTTAATTTATTTAAATTAGTATTGAATAAATTATTTGTATTCTTTCGTAAAAATTATAATATTTATTTAATACTTATTAACTTAATTATTAGCTATAAATAAATGAACAAAGGGGACAGTAAAGTGAATAAACAAAGATTTTATGTAATAAAATTTATTAAAAATGTCTATTTACATATTTACAGATATTATATGAAATAATACTTAACTACTGTACTTACATGAAACACAATTACAACAAATTAAAAATTGAAACTATTGAAATATTGAATTTTTTGAAATATGAAATATTTACATTAAAAAGAAAATGAGGAGAAAGAGAGAAGAAAGGGATAACAGAGAGGTAGAGAGAGAGGAGAGAGAGAGAGATATGCATGTAAATCGATATTCACTCCAATGACTTATAAAAAATGTTGTGGCCCTGAAAAGGGCCAATTTATGACATTTTGATGGAAATTATTTCTTGGCAACAGCCTTGGCAGTTGTCTTCTTCGGTTTAGGTGTTCTAGTTTTAGCAGCTGGTGCCTTAGCAGTTTTTTTAGCTTTCGAGACGGCTTTAGGTGTAGTTGGTTTTTTCGCCACTTTCTTTTCGGGTGTAACAGCAGCAGCGGCTGCGGCAGCGGCAGCAGCAGCAGCGGTGGCAGCTCTCGATGTCGCAACCTTTGATTTTTTCGGATCGGCCGCCTTCTTGACAGTTTCAGCTTTTTTAACTGGGGTTTTGGTTTTCTTAGCAACACCAGTAGCGGCAGATTTGCGTGCAGCAGCAGTCTTCTTTTCGACAGACTTATCAGCCACTTTCTTTTTCTTAATAACTCGTGGAGCTTTAGTTTTGGTAGGGCTGGCTTTAACGGTCGACAATTTGAACGACCCAGACGCACCCTTTCCTTTAGTCTGAATAACAGCTCCAGTAGAGACTGCGTTCTTTAGATATTTCTTAATAAATGGTGTTACTTTTTCGCCATCAACCTTATACGTAGCTACAACAAATTTCTTGATAGCTTGCAATGACGAACCCTTACGATCCTTCAATTCTTTAATGGCGGCAGTCACCATTTCAGATGTTGATGGATGAGTAGACTTTGGCCTTTGGGTTTTAGCTTTAGGCTTGGCGACTTTTTTAGGTGTTGTCTTGGTCGCAGTAGCTTCAGTCGAATTCTCAACGGCTGTTCCAGAAGTATTAACCAAGTCCTCCATTTTAGATATAGTAAGATATTTTTTACTTTCTGTGTTATATTATTTTATAACTCGTTAAATCTCCTTCAACTATTTTCGTCAAAGTACGATATATCTATCGAAGTGTTTCCTTTAAGTTAGGTATGTTACTCTGGCGCGCAAGGAATGACCGTCATTTTGTATCGTAGCGCGGACCATGAAGAGAGACTCTCTCGATATGGCGCACGAACGTCTCGATTAGAAAGATACGCAGACAATTCCGACATCGTTATTTCAAGCTTATTTTAAATAATACTAAACATTCCCGACATATGTTTTATATATCAATCGAAAGTTTAGTTTATGGGCTTTCAGAATATATATTTTTGATTCATTTATTTATCAGATTTTGTTCATTATTAATAATATATTCCGAAGCATACACTTTTCTGATGATAGTTTAGTCGATAATATTGTTAAAATTTACATTATTCTTTATTAAAATTATATATTTTTTCATCTTAATAACATCATCATGGATTAATCTTTCAATAACGATCATTAGTTATTCTCAAATGTGTCTTATTATTGTTGAAAATATCAAACAAATGCGGCGTGTCAATACCATACGATTTACTTTTCGTCGTACACGTAGTCGTCAACACCGGTTAACACATTTTTGCACTAACGTATATTATCAATGTGATTAATATTTTTTATTTTATATTATTGTGTAAGATATGTTTGTAAAAAAATTTGACGATTAATTGGTTAATTAAGTTGTACAAATGAAGATTTTCCAGGCGTACTTCCTACGAAATAAGAAGAAAAGAAACGACTGAGTGGAGAAGGGATTTTCATTTTTAAAAGAAAAAACAATAAAAAAAAGAAATTAAAGTATATGTCAGATCGATTGATTAATTTAATAATTTTTTAATTTTATTTAATTATATTGAATCTTGTTTTAATACGATCTCGATGTAAATTAATAGAATGTTCTTCCATAATACGGTATTCCTATAGCACAATTTTCTAAATACGACGAGTTAACAAATTAGTATTGTTCTTATCTAACACGAAGGCTTTCATTCTATTTCATTAATTTTTTTTACTTTATTTTTTAATTTGTTTTTTTTTTATTTAACACGATTTTGATACAATGTAGAACGAATTAATTGTGTTATAGGAGAATTAGAGTGTACATTATTACTATTTGTTAGGAATACACATCTACATGCCATATATGCAAGAATTGAAGATTTATAAAGAAAATTATTCTGGTATATTTCAATAAACAGTCAAATATATATTTTAATTATATAATTCATGTATAACAATTAAACAAAATACATGTTTTTTTCTGCTTTGTAGCAACAACTCGTTCACCTAACCCCAAATTATTTATTTATTTGGTCAATTTCGTTTTATTTTTTTTTTTTATATATAATAATTATTATAGGTTATATTATTATTTTCTGCAGTAGTGCAGTAAAACGAGAGTGGATCGAAAAGTCATTAGTCTTGGCAAAAATATCTTTTATTTTTCAAAATATAAAAGAGTTTAATTGAAAAGAAGGAAATATTTCTATTTTAAACTCGAAACACATTTCAATTAACCTTATTATATTTTATTTGCATTGACATGTTCGTAGGAACTTGTCAATTTTAATTTGACCATATATTATGATGTTCATTTGAATTAACATATTAACCAAATGTTGTCAATTAATATATACAGTCTCAAGTTATAAATTTTATATAATTAATTAATATACATATTTTATGCTGCTGTGAAAATTGGTTTACAACAAAATTATTGATTCTGAATTTTAAGAAAGGGATAATAAGGAACCAATCGAATAAAAAACAAGTAAATTAGTTAGCAATTAATTTATGTATAGGGCAAATTTGTTGTTTCAGTAAATATGACAGGGTTAATCTTGAATTGTTAATATTTAATTTTTCAAGTAAGAAAGAACGCTTATAAACAAATAAAAAATTGAAGGGAAGGGAGGTTAGACGTATGTCCCACTATAGAAAACCATAAAATAACCTGATTACAGAAAAAAGAGAAAAAGATATAGACTAATTTTGAATCGTGCAAACGGGTTGAGCCATTAACTCTCAGAGTATTGTAATTTAGGGACCTGTGCTGAGGTCATTTTAGACTCACCCTGATATTTTACTAAATGCATATTAATAGTAGCTTAAACTCGTCACGGATTTCTACCAATTCAGGGACAATCGTGTTTTCTTCATAGCATTCAAAGAAGAAATTTAATCGTGTTTTTTGTATTTTTTTTATATTCAAGATTTCAATATTTCATATTTTCTATTTTTTATTGTTAAATTATGATAAGATGGTAAAATCATTTTATTGTTTACATTATACGTAGTCAGTTTTGTTACTGTGTATATACGTTATCTCTCTTGAGAAACATTACATTTGTTTAAAATAAAAAATTCCAGTATGCAGTATGAGAAATATTAACAAAGAAATCTTGGCCATTATCAAATGTCCAACCCACGCGCTTCGCAACAACGCATATCACACGCATATACAATTTATATACACGTACACATCCACGCACGCATAAATTATATATAACTATATTACAATTTTTACAATTATTACTATAATTACAATTTGTTATTATTATTTTTATTTTTATTTTTATTTTTTTTATTAACTATTAATAAAATTATAATTACTTAATTTTTTTTTATTTTAGTAATTTTTTTTTCTAACTAACAAATTTGATTTTTTGATGCCTGTAGATGTTATTAACACCTAGTTGTGTTTTCATAAATTTTCTTGTTTATCATTTCCACGAGTCAGATTGTTTCGTTCTTTTCAATCCTCTGGTACTCACGGTTTGTATAAAATACTTGACTAGTTTGTTAGGATGATTTTCTATTCTGTAAGTATATTTTCTTGCGAATATCTGAAGATTTGACGATAAGTTGATTTTTGGAAATGAATTTGTCAATTGGCCTCCAAAATCATGCGAGTTGACACCTGTCGATTATTTCCTATGGGGCTACGTGAAGTTACTCGTTTATGCTAATAAACTAACAACAATTGATGCTTTGGAAGTCAGCATTGTTCATATTATTCGTGACATATGGCTAGCAGTGCTCGAAATTGAAGTTCCAAAAGGTTATAAACATGTTTTGTTAAAAAACATTCGCAGTGGCCATATGTTTGAAATCATTTTGCAAATGTTAATGTCATGTATTGATCTTCGAATAAAAAAATATAATAAGCGCGGAATTAAATGTTATTCTGAAAGATCTAGGAATTTTCTAGTTGAAAATCAACAGGCAGGACTTTTACAAGATTATCAAATCGTATACAATTTAAGAAAATAACAGATCTGACCACCTTGCCGATTACCCCAGAACAAGAACCAGAAGCCTGTCGACTTTGGAAAATCTAAGCAATATTAACCTGGAACTTATCTTCAATATACCTATTGAAAACAGGTATCATATCTTAGGAACCGAAAAAATGTTCGACATCATTAATGTGCTAAACAGCATTGCTTTAATACAGTACAAATAAAAAACTTTAAATAATGACGCTACAAACGTACATAACGTCATTAAAAAAACCTCTTTCCAATCTACATCCACTGTTAACCTTGGCTGAGAAAGTCGGGACCCTCTCTTCATTGTTGGTTCTGATCTTATACATTACTAAAGTAACTAAGTAATCCTGATTGTTCACAAATAGTAATCCGCATACGAGCACTAATACTACTTGAATATTTCTGCACACGGTGCGATATGTATCCTTTGAGTGAGCAAAATGAATTATGTATGAATCGCCAATAACGATTATGCTGGACATGGAAGTTATGCGAAGTATATATATACACATTATTCTATAAACCCTTTCAAAAGTGAAAATAAAGAACGATTGGTCCTCAAGTATTACAATATTACTATGAATACTTGCAGCAACGTTGGAATAACGGTATTCTCCCAGATAAGGATTTATTTTTATAAAAAATATATTTTAAAATTATTTTCATAAATTTTTCTACAGATCTCGTAATATTATTGCATATTTATTTAATATAATTATTTATTCTTGAGTACAATGTTCATATTAATCAAAGAAAAAACAAATATATTAAATTAAAGAAATAGTTCCTTCGTATTTTCCTGGTAGGTTGATTTAGGATTGCATAACTTTGTATCTAACGTTAAATCAACAAATATCATAATTTAATTGAAGATTAATAATGAATTAATCTTTTTATTTCATTAATATTATATTTATCTATCAAAATAAAATGTTTTTCTGTAATAAAATAGATATCTAAAAGTTTAATAATCCTAAAATAAATTTCTGTGTATAAGAATTTGGAAGCTTTATATAATTAATAAATATTAATTATTGAAAATTTATAACGCGACTGGGTACGAATGCTTCTGTGACTCGCTGTGTGTATAACATTTTCTATACATAAATATTACAGTATATTTAAAAAAAATATAACATTAGATCGTATTTTTATATTAATTTTATCATAATTATCTCTTTATGTCATCTGTTGTTTTCTTCTAGAACTAATGTCTTTACCTCTCCCACTATTTCACACATACCAATCAGGAGTGAGAATATTTTTGCATATAAACGACTGTTCAGGGCCGTCACACAGTTATGATCTGACGACGATATTTGATCGTATTTCTAATTATTAGTTTTCATTCAAAATGGCGCGAACAAAGCAAAATGCTACTAAAAAGATTATCGGTGGAAAAGCTCCTCGGAAAGAATTAAATATGAGAGCAGTGCGTAAGGTTGCTACTACTAGAGTTGTTTCTGACGTGAAGAAACCTCATCGTTACAGACCTGGTACAGTTGCACTTCGAGAAATTCGTCGTTATCAGAAAACAACTGAATTGCTTATTCGAAAATTACCTTTCCAACGACTGGTACGTGAAATCGCACAAGACTGCCATGCAGATGTTCGTTTTCAAAAAAGCGCTCTTTTCGCTATTCAAGAATCTTGCGAAGCTTTTCTTGTTAGATTGTTCGAAGATGCCAATCTTTGTGCTATTCACGCTAAACGTGTAACCATCATGCCTAAGGATATGCAATTATCTCTACGTATCCGTGGACTCAACAATTAAAATCATTTAATTTTTGAATTTCTTATATTTTTTATATCTTTGACGGCCCTTTTCAGGGCTACTAATCTTTTCTATACTACGGGATCATTTCTCGTCGAATTTGTAGTAATATTCATTTATTGCCAGTGTTATAAAATACAAAATATAATATTAAGTTTAACGAATTTATCGTGAAGTCAATTTCTATGATCTTTTACTTACAATTAGTTATCCTCTCTTACAATATCTCTATTATAACGTATTATTTGATTATATATCAATAAGACCTTGTCTTATCCTTCTTTTTTAATTTGTAAATATTTGTAATCTAGAATTCATGGTTTCAAGAAACAGGATAAGATATCTGTAGTAATATATTATTGTATATCACATCGTATTTTTTTTTTCTTTCGTTGTTAGTTTTCAGCTACTCACATAGAATACGCTGTTAGTCAAAGCGCGTAATATTTTGAGCATCGTTATTTGTTTATTGATAAATTTATTATTGTATATTCGAAACGAGATGATTTTTAAAACTAACGATCAAAGTTCTTGTAATGTACATTTAATCTTTTCAGATAGCATATATATACAGAATGGAACAATTAAATTGGATTCTCTAAATATCATCATCATTTATTATTTTATATTTCATACTTGTTGAAGAGAGATACACGTGGCGCTTTCATTCGTCATGCTGGCGCCATCTCGTGGTGGTATGTGCTATTGGATTTAGGATGGTATAGTAGGGAAACTCAAGGAGCTTTTTGCTTGTTGGTTTCCTAAGTATGATTATGATTCTTTTTACATATATAGTATTTCATTTTTAAAAATGAACTAATTTTTTTTTAATATAACTATCCATACTGATAGACATTTTTTATAAAAAATAAATTATTTATACATTCATATCATTCACATAATGTTTCTATAACTTTTTATTTCATATTTTTTAGCGTCTCACAAATATACTAATTAATGTATATAATATATAAAACAAAAATATATATATATTAACAAGGATTATAAATATTTTTATAAAATGTAAAATTATTTTGTTAATCTTTTGTGAGTGATATTTATCTCTCCAGTCTGAAGTTTAAAACAGTAATATTTTTAAATCATTGAAATGAAATATGATTTATAATAAAATACATATTAAGTAAATAAAAAAACAAATGGTTTGTAATAGTTAAAAATAGTTTTTAATTAAAAACGGACGTTTATGCATTTGTTATTATTTTGCTCAGAATGAAAAAAAACGTGAATGAACTGTAATACCATTAATGTACTATATGTATTTATTTATCATATGAGCACCGAAATAACCATACTTCATGTAAAATTTGCCTTAAATGACTTGTTTTCTTTGAATACGATGACTCTCCTTTATCAGCTGTTCGATTCCTTACGCTGATTGGATGGTAATGCAGTAGTGGGGAAACAACGCCTACGATAGACACCAGACATATCTATACGTACTAATTGTTGCATAGCTTAAGGGGTTACGTACTTATTACTTACCTTTCAGTTGTGCTCCATCCGTTGTGAAATTAACATCTATTGTTAATTATTGATTTTTGTTTTCTAAATTTTTTGGTTCAATAAACTTGCATTATCAACCCACTGATAATAAAATTAATCACTAATAAAAACTAAAATAAAACAAAATACAAATAATTTACTTTTAATTCTACTGAATGGATAATATTTCTGTAAGTAAAATTAATATTAAAAAATAGGATTTTAATTACTTAGTTATATTAATTCATTAATTTTTATTAAAAAGATTAGAAAAGAAAGATTATGATACATGGGTGAGTTGAAGGAAATTTATTTTCGTCAAACTCAATTTTATTAAAAAAAAAAAATATAAATAAATAGTTTATTTTTTGTTGAGCCTCAAAACTTTTCAATTCATCTTCGTACTTATGAAGTATGATATAAAAATATTTATCTAGCTCACAAATATTTATCTAACTACATATATATATATAAGCATTGTCCAAATAATTATACGACATCAATTTATCCTAATTTCCTTTAGTATTATTTTTTTCCTAATGATCTTTTTTTCTTAATTATAATTATTCTTCTTACAGATATAAGACTCACGCATTTGTGGAACAAACTAGACAATATTTTTTGAATTACGACATTTTTTATCTCGTTCTACACGATTATTTATTACTCTTGGAAAGAAGGACGTACCGAAAAAATGCAAAAAGATTCTTCTTGAAAATATTTAAAATATGAGGAAATAAAACGTAACTCAATTTGTGCAATCTGTTGGAATCAAAACAAATTTTCGAATTCGTTTATGTATTACATGTCAACGATATTTTTTAAAGCAATGAAATTAAACAATAGAATTTAGTAAAAAATAAAACATTAACATTATTATAAATTATATGATTTAATCGATATTAACAATATCAACGACAATTCGTTCAAATTACGTTACATCGAATGTGTAGTTAATATAAAAATAATCTTATGTACTTAATAAAGTACTGTGTGATTCTTTACTTAAACCTCTTACCCTCTACCCCCCTCCCATCGCCCTTAACTCACTCCTTTCTCTTGCTGCCCGAATAATTTAGCTTTAAATTCTCTATCCAATTTACTACCATTAACCTAACGCAAAGGAGGAGCTTCTTATCTAGAACGCGCGAGTACCCATTAATGATAGATTTAAATTTGTCTTTTATTGTTAACGTTCTTCCACTTTGTACAATAATCGCACGCTTTGATCTAGAGTTAGGAAAGGTGTTCGAGTAAGATCGATAAAGTTGTGGTTATAATATCGACCAACGGTGTCAACTTTAACTAGTAATTTATTTTAAGAAGATATTTTTTTTTTTTTCATTTTGCATGTGAACGATAAAAATTTATAATTTCAAGGAATTATTTTTCTCTTGAATTTACTATAGCAAGATAAATCATAAAAAGTAATTTTAACATTGACACGAGACACTTGTTGTTACACTTGTTACGTAATATAAACGAATTTTTTCATCTATTCTTAGAAAAAGCATAAAAAATGTGTCGGTAGTTTACGTTATAGTTGGAAATGAACTTCAGAGAGTGTTAATAAATCTGACTCTTCCGACAATCCAATTGCGTTTTGATAAACTGTCTGGTTAATTTACAGCGAATATCTCCAACCGGTAGAAATTGTTTTTGCTAGAAGATTTTCGAGAAAAAAATAAACGCAAATAGAAAAATGTTTAACTCAACGATAGTATTTATGATTTATTATCTATTTATTATTATGTATTTATATTCAATGTTACTTGTCTTCAAATCAAATTATGAAAGAAATAAAATCAAATATCTTAAATAACAAATATTCCGAAATAAAAAAATTAAATAAGTAAATCAAATTTTACAAATAAACAATAATTACTATTTTCAATCAAATTAAATTCAATTTAGTAATAATTACACATATTTCCATATCACTTATTATTACAACTTATGAACGGGACAATTATTAATGAATTTAAAAAAGCAACAACAACAAAACGATGTCCGCCATTTTTTTTTTAAATCAGACAAAATTATATAAATCGATCAGCAAAAAAGATACCTTGTGAGAGACATGGAAGATGAAAATCCAACCTCCTGTAAGTAAATATATAGATACACCGAAGTTTTCCAAGCTTTCATCATCGTTTACGATTCATCGTCAGCGTTTGCGCGCGCGCTCGCGCGTTTCGGAGCTTGCGCGCGCGCGCGTTTTAAAGCTTGCGCGATGAAAGATGAACCATGGCGAAGGTATATACCGGTACTTCCCGCTAAAATTCCCTCACTCGATCTTTCGAAGTTACGCGAAGAGGAGGTTCCACATACACACATTTATTCATTCGCTCACTCACTCATTTCTCTTTTTTCTCTCTCTCTTTCTTTCTTTTTTTCTTTCTTACACACTCTTTCTCTCTCTCTCTCTCTCCTCTCCTCTCTCTTATTTCTCGCCCTTTCTTTCTTTCTTTTTCTTTATCGTCATTATCGAGTTTACCAAGGATAGAAGAGAATCCAAAGATCGGTGGTTTTACACCATCGATGACGATATTTTTTTATTTCTCCACTTTTCAATCTCTTTTCTTCTTTTTCTTTCTCCTTTTATTTGCAAGACGAGATTTCTTTTAATTTTTATATAAAATTGTATATTTTTTATAAACAGCATAATCTTTTAATTTATATATATATATTATATTTTTATTTATATTCAAATTGTACATATCTCTCACGAGAATAATGATCGTCTAAATTTAATATTAATTTGTATCTTTATTTTTTATTTTTATTCTTTTTTTCTATATATTTTTTCTGTCTCATGAGTTTTCGTTTTCTTAATTGTTTAGTAATACAAAATTGATATAGAGTATAGGAGTAAAGGTGAAGAGAGAAGAGAGAGAGAGAGAGAGAGAGAGAGAGAGAGAGAGAGGGAGACTGAGAAAAAAAGAAAGAGAAAGAGAATTGAAAATAGGTAGAGTGTAAAGGGAAAAAATAAGAGAAAGAGGGAGAGAAAGAGAGAGAGAGAGAGAGGAGGGCAGATAACGGGTAGATAAATAAAATAAGTGCGAAAAAATCGGGTGTTATGGGTCTAACCGATACAAGTTTCGAGTTACTTTTGACTCTTTGGCGATTCTCCATTGTGGGAGTCATTTGGAACACCGAAGGGCCACGCACCGATCATCCAGGCCTCTCCTCTTCCTTACAATTCGTCGATTTTCTCGTTCTTCTTCGCTAATCGACCCTGAAAAAAAGAGAGAAAGAGAGGAAAAATAGTTCTTCAAAAGAAATAGTGAATTTTGTCTCGAGGTACGTAAATATTTATATTTAGATTTATCTGTTAAATTTCCTAATTTTATATTTTCAATGCGTTATATCGAATCGTTTACAAAATAAAAGAAAGACAAAAAAGAACAATTATTTTATATATGGGAAAATATTAGACGAGATGTTTTTTCTTTTAAATTAGAAATCATTCGAATTATAAAAGAAATCAAAAAATCATTTTCAACGTTCATTTATAAATCGTTTATTTTATTTTTAATTCGTTCGAAAATATGATTAAATATTTTTATATGAAAATGTTTATTATAGTTATATGTATATAATATATTAGATCAAGTTTGATAGAAGAAGTTATTGTTAATGTTTCTTATTTTATATATTTAATAAAAAGAGAGAGAGAGAGAGAAAGAGAGAAGAGGAATAAAAAAAATAACAAGATATCATTGTCTTTCTCTTTATTCTCGGAGACTTTAATTTTTCTATACGAGAAATCATGATAGAAAAAAAAATATATAGAATAGATCGTAGGTGAGCACGATGCTTGACAAAGCGAGAATCGATTCCAAGTGATCTGTCTATAACACGAGAGGTTCATATCAGGATTTTGAGTATTTATGTATGTCGATGCTTTATGCTCGATGAGAGAAACAGAGAGAAAGAGAGAGAGAGAGAGAGAGTAACTTGAACAAATTTGAAATAACGCGTTCGACGTATCTAGGGCATATATGGTGGACGTTAGCGTAGGAGTAAATTCGAGTGACATCGGGGAAGAGGAGGTGGAAAGAGGGGCTGCTTATAAAGAGATATGATGTATACAATATTGAAAAGTTTTTTAACATTTTGTAAGAATCTTCTTTATTATCGTCTCTATTAATTGTTTAATGAAATAGATAAAGTGTACTTATTTTTTTTTTGACTAATAAATAATATACAATATTATATTAAATTTATAATAAAAATAAATATATTATTTATAATAAAAAAAAATATATATATGTGTATTATATATTAAAATTGAAATAGTATGAAATGAGTGATCAAAGTAGATTTATTATTTGTAAGTTAACGTAAACCAAGTTTTCATTTACTTTTCTTTAACAGTTAAGGTTGAAATAAAAATATATATTATAATATGTAAAATCAATATATAAAATGCATAAAATATTACTTATGGAATAAATGTTATAAACAAAAAAAAAATGGGAAAATAATTTTGAACATCCAAAATAATATAATTAAAATTTTGAAAATAATTATCATTAATTGTGATATCAAATTCGCAAAGCACTTAATTATAATATCGCAATGACGGATCCATTACCTTGAAGTGATTCCCCCTCTAACGTGACGGCAAGTAATCTAGCGCGAGCATGTTTCCTCGAACTTGAATCCTTCCTTCATCAAGCAAACCGTCAACGTTTCTACTTTTATTCGCGTCAGAGTTGCGTTCTTGAGTGCTGTCTTCTTGTTAAAACGTTTAAAATTTCTCGAGATCGTAGGTGAAACGAGAACAAACTCTCTGTACGTTTTTACTCGTAGAGAGAAAAAGAAATAAAAAGAGAGAGACAGAAGGTGTGTGTGCGTGTAAAAAAACTAGACTTCTTTTTTTCAAAGATTAGACGAATTTTGCATAACAGATAAACACTAGAAGAAAATTTATTTAAATATTTGTATCTTTTTTTATTCATTCGAATTATTATATATTATTATATTTTTGTTTCGAATATTTTCAAACATTTTATCTACGATGAACCTGATATAAAAGGAAAAAAAAACTATTTTAATAATACACAAGTTTTAGATTTCTTTTTTTTTCAATAAAAATTTTGAAAATTTAATTTTTAATTTGAAAATTATACAATTAATTATACAATTTTTATTTAATTACAAAATATTACGGAAGCTCAAATGACTCTTCGTCAAAAAAAAAAAAAAAAAACATTGATTATTGCAAAAATAATAAAAATAAGATCAATACAAAAATGAAGAAAATAGAAAAAATATTTTGTTTTCTTTTTAAATGAAAAAAACAAAAAACAAATGTTCCATTCAAAATAAAAAAAGAAAAAGAAGAGAATTCTCTAAACCGCAAAAGTAAAACTTTCGTACGAGACTTTTTAAGAAAAAAAAAAAATCAGGATATAAAAATGTATGGACGTGTTATAAAATTGACAATGATGATTCTCTTGTTCTCTTTCTATAGGGGGGGACATTTCGCACCCACTTTTAGCAAAGACTGATCGGTATAATCGATAGATATATAACTGTGTGAATATCAATTAATCGGCTCGGGTACGGTGGACAAGCGTGGATCATTGCACGTGACAGAAAACCCCTAGTCGAGTGTCGTCGAGAATTGTGAGAGAAAGAGAGAGATAGGGATAGGGATAGGGATAGAGACATAGAACAGAGACAGAAACAGACAGACAGACAGACAGACAGACAGACAGATAGATAGACAGACAGAATTTGTGTATGTTATGTATAAGTATGTGCGAATATGAGTGAGTGAGTGATATATATAGCTTGAGGTCGTAGCGACGATCGCCTTTGAAATATCGTCCCCGTTTGACCGGTACACCCGTCATCATTCCACAGGGAGCCACACACAATAAGCTCGTTCGGGGTTCAAGCGTTGTCGCTTCAAGTGCTATCGATAACATGTCGTCACCAAATTACACGCGAGCCTCGCATCCGACTCATCGCAACAACCCCCCTTCTCACCCTTTCTATTTTTGACGATATTAATAAACGATAATTTTTGTTCCTTTTTATCTAGGTTTTTTTTTCCTTTTATATTATATATATATATATATATATATATATATGTATATGTGTGTGTTGGTAATTATAATGCTTGATTGTAAAGTTAAAACAAAAAAATTGACAAACATTCATTTTATGATTTATTTGATAATACAAATAATATTAATATATATATATATATATATATATGGGTATAAGTGAATTTATTTAAAAGTTCAATTTTTCTATTTTCATTATCAGTTGTGTATACTATAATGTTTTATTTATTTATTCGTGATAATAGGGGTTAATAGAGTGTTAACTGTTAAATGTTATTGTATGAATGATCTGTTTTTTTTTTTCAATAGTATGAATTTAACATTTGATAATATTGAGTAATTCAAATTACAAATCCACTTTTCTAGTAATTCAAATCTTAAAAATGTCGATATAGAAATAAATGAACTTTTAAAAAATGATTTATATGTGCACATGTTTTTTATCTTTTTTGATAATTAATGTGATTAATTATCTTTGATTTTAGGTGAATTCTTAGCGCCATGTCGTCGAGGGTGATAAAGGACTCGAAGATCGACGATAACGTCGAACGTAGGGAGACCTGGTCTGGAAAAGTTGATTTTCTTCTATCAGTCATCGGTTTCGCTGTTGATCTTGCGAACGTTTGGAGATTTCCATATCTCTGTTACAAAAATGGTGGTGGTGAGTAATACCAAATTAACTCCCCTTTCCTCCTTTCCATTAACGATATTTAATGTTATTTTTGTATAAAATCACAGAATTCAAACTAACAATTAATATTTGTTAGGTCTAGAAATAAATCTGTTACCAATATGGCGGAAAGTAATCACACGATATTTATATTTATATTTTTTCAAAATTTCATTTAATATAAAATTGTAATATTTCTATTTACAATAGCGTATGTTAGATATAGAAATGAATCTGTTACAAAAATAGAGGTAATAATATGTCACACAAAATTAATTTTTTATCAACGTTATTAATTTTGGGGAAATTTTTGTTTTAATATGAAATTATGGTGCGTACATTATGTGTATTTCTGATTTATAGACAATAATTTATTATCTTTTTAAAAATATATCGCGTTTATCGTTCCCTTTACAATATAACAATTATTTTAGTAATACATAGTAATATTTAATTTATTTAACACCCGTTAATAATATCGTTACACAAACTTATTTAATAGTTGACGAGCGTACGAGAAATGACTGTGCGTTTGGTAATGCAACCCAGTAGCTAAGTAATACCGCGTTAACCGGTAGACTAATTGCCATTTACCTCGTGGAAAATGACCTTCGGATTTAGACCCCTCATTTCTCTCTCTTTCTCTCTTAGAGAAGCTTTCTCAATGCAGTCCCGTCTTTCTAAGGGATGAAATTTCTTCGTAATTGAAAGACCGAACGAGTAATCTCTGTCTTTTAATTGTCATTTATACCAGCGACAATTTCTGGATTAATTTTCTTTCAAATTTAAATGTAACATTTTCATTTAACGTTATATTTTTCGTTATATTTATTTATATTTATTATTACAATTATTATCTTTTGTTACAATACTTTTCTTTCGTAATTAAAATTGGTTTTCTTTTTTTATTGGTAAATTTTTATTTAAATCGAACAAAATGTTATTACAGATTGATCGTTTATTTTACAGAACATTAATCACATATAAATAGAAACGTATTAAATTTATAATAAAAAATTATACGTAATATAATATTTACAAAATTTGATCATAGTAGAGAACAACAATATGATGAAATCAAAGTTAAAGTATCAAACAATTTAACTTCGAAATAAGAGTACCATATCAAAGTTCATGATATTTAAAATGCTATTTAACAATTTCGAAATAAAAATACAATCTTTTATGTATAAATATGTATATATTAAAAGTTGATTCAAATTATACTTTTACTTTGAGAAATTTACTAGAATTTTCTTAATAAATATTCCATAATGTCGCATAAAACATTCAGAAATTTCAAATTTTCAGTACAAAAGAAGATTACAGTCGATATACACGATAAATAAATTTTAATATCGTTGCAAGTTATGTTGTCACTTATATATAAATACGTATGTTTCATCGAATTTCCATAACAGGCTTTATAGTGAGTCAATTTATTTTGATCATTGTATATTCATTCTTTCGTCAAAACACCTATGCAAAATATAGAGGAAAGTTCTCTTTCTCTCTCTTTTATTTATTTTCTCAAAATTTTCCTGTTTAAACACATTTAATTGATCGAAACTCGTAATGATTTCTATTTATGATAAGATCGTTAAAAAAAAAACAGAAAAACAAAATAATACATCAAGAATGCATCTCGTATTAATTGAAAGACATAATTTATGTTTGGCAACACATATTTCAAGAATGTAAAAAAATCTTTAAACACTAGTTTTTCTTTTTTTTCTTCTTATTCTCACCTTTTTTATTATTTACGACAAAGGCAATAAATAACGTGTAATTTAATACAATTATATCATAAAATATCAACACATTTAATTATTCTTTTTACCACCGATGGCGAAAGATTCCTAGGAATAATAAAAATTCTTTTATAGAATCAATAAAACGATGTGTGTTTTTTTAATTTTCTAGATAGTACACATTTCTGTAATAATAATAAAAAAAATAAGTAAATATTTCATATAAATATTCTTTTTTAATTTATTATCTTTTATATAACTTAGCAATAAATTCTATTAGCAATAAAATATCAAAGATGATAATATCTACAAAAAAGAAAAAGAAAGAAATTTATTTTCAACGTAAAACACTTCTCTCCTGTCATAAATTTTAAATATAACTTTACACATATTTTTGAAAATTATTTCTATGACAACGCATGAAAATATAAATTCTAAGAAATTAAAGATTATATTGATAAAGAAAAAAAAGAATACATTTATTCCAAAAGGAAATATTATATAAATATTATATATATATAAAGAAAAATTAATAAAAGGTAAATAAATGTATTGAAAATGAAAACTAACTATATCGAAAATTAATCCTATAGAATGTCTTTATTTTGGAAGTTAACTAGCTTGATCTAGAAAAGATTGATGGTAGAAAGGAAAAGAATGGAGAAATTGTAATCGTGAGTGTATGTGTGTATAAAAGTGACAAAGAGAGTGAGAGAGAAAAGACTTGCAAGGCCGAAGGCAATGAAGACGACGAAACCATTAGTCTCAGCTCTATCGAGAAGCCTGTAGGAATACGATTAGGGCAGACTGTCAGCGATACAGAGGCTCCTCAAAAGCGACTACTAACGCAATTAAAAGAGGAGAGTAGGGCGTGCAAGCTACGCGCCATTAGGATGGGCAAGATCGGTCGCTAATTTCCAATTAGCTTAATTAATTATAATTTCCCATTCGAGCGAGGCCTTTGATCATGGACGTGTACCTATCCCAACGTGCACGCTTGGTTGTGTTACGTTTTATTCTCCTTCCATTTGTTCCAATCGTGAGTTCGTTTCTAACCTAAGTTCACGTTCGTTGTGTTATTCGCTTGCATCGCCATTTTGAATTCGTGTTATGTATATCGTAGAAGGAAGAGAATCTTATATTTATTCGATTCATTCGAAACCGCCGATCAGTTTTCATAGAAATCTTTTTTTTTTGCGGTTTTTATCTTTATTCTAAGTATTTATTTTTCTCTTATGTTTATTACGAAATAATATTATTACCATTGACAAAGTCGTATTTTTTTCATTCGTATATGTACTACTCGGATGCGGTCATGTGCATAAGCGTTAGTAGGTGTATACAAGGAAAAAAAAATCAAAGATTATTTTATAATTAAACCGTTCGCTTATTATAACTAATATTATTCAATTATATGGTAAGATAAATAATTTATGTAGATTTTATGTATAATGCGTCTGATATCTCAGTTTGATCGTTTGATTTCTTTGATTTTTTTTCTCCTATTTTGTTTTATTATTATTATTACTATTATTATTTTTTTTTACTTCTCGAATTATTCATCGAAGCGAAAAATTGCGACGAATAATATCCGGTGATTCGTAAGGAAAAAAAAAAGTATTCGATTAAAATCGTTCTTTTTATTGATGCCGACAAGGTGAAGATAAGCAAGAGAGAAAAAAAAGAAGAGAGATAAAAATAAATAATAAATCTTGACGTGTGATCTTAAATTGAATTCGAAGCAAACGAGACGGATCCTAGGAGTCTTTTTTAAACGATAGCACATATAATTCGAGATAATAGAGACCTTAAGAAAAGTCTAAAGGGCAAGAGAGGATGTATGAAATAAAGGTTGGATTGAATGGTTGAACCATTTTAAACTAGCTCCATGGTACTCGTTTAAAGCTTCAAAACTAGCGTTTAATTTACCAACTCCCTAGGTGAATCTTGTCAAAGGAAGAAGAAAATTGACCGGAAGTTTTATATCAAACCGGATGTTTGTCTATGTCATTTCTCTTACGTTAGGATAAAAGATATGAAAGATGAAAGATTTAGATGTTAACGAGGTTCTAAGAGGTTCTAATACATTGTCAATCATGTACACATATTTATTATTCATATATTTTATTAATAATTATTCTTTTTTGTTATAACAATTTCTGAATTATGAATTACTGGAGAATACGTGTTGATATAATTGAAAATGTCAATCAAATGAGAGCAAATAATAACTTTTTGGTGCTTTGATTGAACATTTACATATATTATGTATATTTATTATATTGTCCAATAAATTAATGAGATTTTTGTTTAACAGTAAATAAAAGTCATTAATCGTATGTACTTATTGTGACAACCTTACATATGTTATATGCAAAACGATAAAAATAAATCAAACGTATTTGAAATTTTCTTATTTGCATGTGAATTAATTTAGAATAGAACAGAATAATCTCCATTTGCTTCCCCGAAGGGCTACAATCCTTTTACATTTCCTTCAACCTCCTCCTTTTCTTCTTTACCCTCATTTCCCGCCTTTTTGAGCCGCATGTGAATTAATATATTTTCATTATTTTTGTCATACGACAAATCAATTTGCATATAACGTGTATCTATGTCATGTATTACAATATCTTACGAAAAAAAAGTACTAATAAAAACTATAACGAACGTTAATTAATCAAATAATTATAGAGAGATTACCAAAGCTAATAAATTATTATAGTGCTATCATTAGTATTATCGGTGAATGGATAAAAGAAAAAGATTCATTTTGAAATAGGTAAAAGAAGAAAAAAAAAATTAATTAAGCTCGTCGGAAGACAATATTCTTCTTTAATGCGATTACGTTTCCATGGTTACTAGGAAGATACTCGAAACGATTTGAGAGGATAAACGTGATACTCTTTTCGTTTTTTCATTTTTCATCTTCCTGAAATAATATCATATTTTATATATATATGTGCATAAATATATGTAATATATGAATCATCTTTAAGTCTACGAGTATTTGGAAAAATGTTTAATATATTGTAAAATATGATCTAATTTATTTTTTGTTATTTTTAATTAGTATTATTATTATAACTTCTTTTTTTTTTTAATTATACTATGACGACAGAATATTTCTTATAAAAAGTAGAGAGACCGATCTAAAGACAAAGTAAAAGTAGAAAAGAGACTACGTAAAATCTCCCGTATATATATGTATGTATATACTCTCCATGTATACATGTATATGTATTCATATATGTATAATAACTCTCTACACTATCATCGTGGCCATATCATAGCATAACTACATTTTGTGAAATTTAACTCGACGATGGTCGAGTGCTTTTAGGCGCGTAATTGAGTAAGCGAACTTTCCGAAATGTGGCAAGGTGACATTAAAAACTCCGTTTCAGAGGATCAAGTCGATTGTGTATTATCGATGATGTGCAGAACGAAAAAGAAAAAAAAAGAAAATACTTATATAAGTATTTTTTATGAATTTATTCTTTTGTTTCATTTTCAATATTATCTTGTCTACGTATTATTGAACAATGCACTTTAACACTTTAAAACATCGTGTAATTGTCAGAAGTCACACATACATTTAATTTATACTTACGTATACTATGATATCTTGATTTTTTTTTTAAATTTTATCTGTTATTTTATCATTATAAAATTATTCGTTAATTTGTGTATATTACGAAGTTCTTAATTTATTTTATTTGTTTTATCATTTTATTGTAAATTAACAATTCTTTTTTATTTATTTAGTGAAACGATTTTAAACCAAGCGTATTTTATCGATAGAAATTTATATTATTTTTTATATTATACAATAGTAAATTATTCTATGTAAAAAAGAAACAACTTTCGTTGGAAACATTTGTTCTTTTCGAATTACTATCAAAAAATTGGATTTTAGAGAGTTAAATTGCTATCAAAAACAAGAACACTTTTTTAATTCACTCTGCCCTTTTTTTATTCTTTCTTTCTTAAAACCTTTTTTTTTTTCTTCTCCCTTTGATCATACAATTACGTTTGGTTCTTCTTATCGAACGAGGGGAAAGTACTCGACTCAAGTTTTTTTCTTTTTCCCTTCTAATTATTCGCTTTTTCGAAAGGAAAAAAAGATAATCGAATCTGGACATAAGATCAAGAATCTTGAGAAAAAAATTAAAAAAAAAAAAAAAGAGAAACAGAAGAATACACATTTTATCCAATTAATTAATAAAATCTTTTTAATATTTCAGGTGCATTTCTGGTCCCTTATTGCATCATGTTGATCGTTGGTGGTATACCACTGTTTTACATGGAACTTGCTTTGGGTCAGTTCAACAGAAAGGGGGCCATAACGTGTTGGGGTCGTTTGGTACCACTTCTCAAAGGTAATTTCAAAAAAAAAAAAAAACTATAATATAATTGATAATTAAGTAAGAATATTTAAACTGTTTTTAAAATTGTTTATTATTTATCTTTATTGATTAAAACGACACGAATTTTTTGATTATCTTATATTATAATATACAAGATGTTATGTAATTGGTGATACAAGTAAGAAAAAAAATTACATGAAAAACTAACATAAGTTAAAAATGTATAATCAAATATTTTCATATAAGATTTCGTTTTAGAAGAAAATAAATTTAAAGATTTGTATCACCCCAGTTATAAGATATCCTGTATATTCTTTACCAATATAAAAAATAACCAATAAAATTCTTGTCGTTTTGGAAAGATTAATGATAAAAAAATGTAGAAACTACGCAAACAATAATTTGCCATACTAAATATTATAAAATATTAATTAAAAAATACATATGACTTATCAAACGAAATGAAAGATAAAATTAGAATAAATAAATCTCGTCAGATTCGTATGGATATATATATATGTATATAAATGTCGATCGAAAGGAGATCGAGAGTGAAAGACTGAGAGTATGAAAGTACTCTTTAAGTTTTCCAAATCCTCTTTGCCCTTGTTACTCGGTCCCTTTTCCTTAAATTCAGTAGTATGGTGGGGTAGGTAATAGTACCTAAGCGTTCTAAGAGTAGAAAAGAGACATTGGTATTCCAAGTGAGATCGCAGTGCTACTCGATTTTCCTGTTTTTGCACTTGCCTTTCCTTCCTTCCTTTCTTTCCCTTCCTTCTTTCTTTCTTTCTTTTCTTGCCATTGGCTGACTGAGAACAATCATCTGGTTCTAAGAGTCGCTGGACCGGCTTTCAACCTCCGAAGTTATGTATTTCACACACACCCACACACCATTCATGTATAGGATTGTACGTGGGCATGTAGCTATACTACTATGTGTGTGTGTGTGTATATATATATATAGCAACGGTGCTATATTCAATTCAGCCATTTACCACGGCACTTTACGTATAAATCCATGGAAAGCCTAGCCTTCTCTCTCTCTCTTTCTCTCTTCATCTCGGTCACATTCTCTTTCAAGGAGGAGGAACATCGAGGTTCGCAAAGAGCCTCCATTTCCGCCGATTTTCAACTTCATTTCCACGTCACGATTTTATCCAGTCAGTCCGTCGAATATTCTCAATATACTATCATATATATACATATTGTACTATACATGTACTCAGTGCGGAGATTAGGGGTTACTTTCCAAAGGATATCGAGTAATAAAGATGATCGTTTATATATTTTTTGTTTTATTCTTTCTTTATAAATTTAATTAATATTAATAGTAGCAATTAATTCGGTACTTTGATTTATTAAGATATTAATTGTATTTGATTCGTTATAATTATATTGCTAGTTTATAACTAGATATAGTTTTACCATATAACTATAATCAATATCAAAATAAATTAAATTTATTTCATCAAATATGATATTTTATTTTTGTCAAGGGAATTTGAGAGTTTTTTTGAAAAATAAATCATCGATAATTATGAAAACTATTTCGAATAGTAACAGATGTGTGTGATTATTTTATAAATAAATAATAGATTTTTAATTAAAAGATATCGAAATAATTGTCGTACTTAATAGATATATACGATGATAAATTGAAAGACCAAATTTACTGTCGATTTTTTTCATTATTTTCTCTTCTATCAAAATTTATCTTCTTTCGATCGAGATTTTTTCGGTTAAAAGAATATTCATGTAGTGTTAAATATATTTTATGAAATAAAAATTATTGTCATAAAATAGATTTAATATTAATGACTTATTTTTAGATTGGAATAAATTGCGATGATAAATAAAACTTATTATAAGATTTAATGGAATTAGGAGAGAGTGAGAGGGAGAGAGTGAGAGAGAGAGAGAGAGAGAGAGAGAGAGAGAATGTATGTTAAAATTAGCAGAGCGAATGAGATCAAAAGGCACTTTAACATTTAATTAAAACACCCGGTTAATTTGATTCAGGAATCGGTTATGCCGTTGTCCTAATCGCTTTCTACGTTGACTTTTATTACAACGTAATAATTGCATGGGCACTTCGTTATTTCTTCGCCTCATTTTCTGGAATGTTACCTTGGACAACGTGTAATAATCCATGGAACACACCACTCTGTCGTGAGTTCGATGTAAACGTCTCTTATGTATTTAATGAGCAACCATCCAACGACATCAATTTTGATTCGGCTTACAACATCACTGGAATATTTTCGGTCAATGATCCTTTCGATGTTCTTGCACTTACCTCGATGAAAAATAAGTCTAAACACACCAGTGCTGCTCAAGAATACTTCAAGTTAGTATCATATTTTTCTCAAACATTATTTCAAATTATTTATAATTTGTTTTTTTAATTCATTATCAAAGTTTAATCATTTCAATGTGATTTGATATATATACGTAATTTAGTAATTGTTAATAATATAATTATAAATAAATTTGCTATTTTTATCAAGCATTATTAGCATTTTTAATAAATTTGCTTATTTAAAATCATTTAGAATTTTATATTATAATTGAATTTTAAATGACACGTTATATTATTGTCTTTTTTTAAAGTCGCGCAATTTTGGAGCTGCATCAGAGTGCTGGAATACATGATCTTGGGACTATTAAATGGGACATTGCATTATGTTTATTGGTTGTTTATCTAATATGTTATTTCTCTCTTTGGAAAGGTATTTCTACGTCGGGCAAGGTAAGATTTTTGTTTATTTATTAATGTTTCGTGAATATTTTTAAAATTTTCTATAGTTCAAATATTCGATATATTCTTACAGGTGGTCTGGTTCACAGCTCTTTTCCCGTATGCAGTATTACTGATTTTATTAATTCGTGGTGTTACATTACCTGGTAGTGGCGAAGGCATTCGTTATTATCTAAATCCAAATTTTTCTGCGATAACTAAAGCTGAGGTATATTTTATTTATTTATTTATCTATAAATCATTACGTTGATATTCGAATAATTTTAATTATTACAGTAAATTAGATCTTTAGATAAATTTTGTGCTTAACGTTTAGAAAATAGAAACGCGTTTAACACCTTTAGTAACACCTATCTGTAGTAAACTAAAATAATAACTGTGAAAGCTAACCGATCGCAGAGACAAGAAGTGACATGGTAACGAAATATGTGAACATCTTTTGCATACATTACGTACATATGTATGTTAATTTAAAAGCGGCTATATAAATAATATATTATATTTATTTATAACAGTTATTTATTATTGTGGGTCAATATTTTTTTATATTTTTAATCTCTGCAATGAAATCTTGAATTTATAACAATAACTGATTATTTTAAATATCACTAAATTATTGCAAAATATTCATTAAATAATTTGTTTAAAATAGCAATTAAATAATTTATTAATTTAATATTTGATTATATTGTATTTTATTTTATATATTATTAATATGTGATTTTATAATAGAGTTAAAAGGAAAAAAAAAGAAATACTAGTTGAAAATGACTGGAAATACCTTGCTGTGAAAAAAACGTAGAAAAAGATAAATAAAGAAAGGAAATTTTAACCGTCGTTGTGATGAAAATGGAAACTCTGTGTACCTGTCATAATGACCATTATACTTTGGTCGAACGATAGGACAGGGTCGACCCTTTTGACTCTTCAACGAAATGGTCACATTTTTCTTTCCTTTTTTCTTTTTCTTTCTCTTACCCATAATTTTATACGGTACTAGGATTACGCTCAGAATGAATTATTCTTTTCACTGGTCATACTTCTTTCTATGATTTTTCTCTTTTTTTCCCCTATAGTGAGTATATAAATTGATGGATGACATAAATTAGATTGTCGAGTTTTTTCAACTCGTTATTTTGATTGATCTACAAAATTCCAAATTTTTCTTTCCATTCTTAAATAATAATTTGAATTAGGATGGTAAATCATTTAACATATTTTTTTTGTTCTTTTCTAGGTCTGGGTTGACGCAGCTACTCAAGTGTTCTTCTCATTGGGACCAGGATTTGGCGTATTGTTAGCATACGCAAGTTATAACAAATATCACAACAATGTTTACAAGTAAGATATAATGTTAATAAAAAAATAAAAAATAGCAAATATCTTCCTCTTATAGAAATATTTTATAATATTTTTAAAAAATATGATATATAATTGATTTGTTTTAAATGATTAACAGAAAGATATAAATTATTTTTATAATAGGGACGCCTTACTAACGAGTGTGATCAACAGTGCGACTTCCTTCATAGCAGGATTCGTAATTTTTTCGGTATTAGGATACATGGCACGTGCTAGTGGTAAATCTATTCAAGATGTAGCTACCGAAGGACCTGGATTGGTATTTATAGTTTATCCAGCAGCTATTGCAACGATGCCAGGTTCAATGTTTTGGGCATTGATATTTTTCATGATGTTACTTACTTTAGGTTTAGACAGTTCGGTAAATATACTTAAATTATCTGTGATCATATAATTGTTTGTTTTTTTTTTATATATATATATATTTTTTCATATTCAGATTGATATATTTTATCTCTCGTAGTTTGGTGGATCAGAAGCAATAATAACAGCCCTTAGTGATGAGTTCCCTGTTATAGGCAACCATCGTGAGATATTTGTTGCATGTCTCTTCACTCTCTATTTCGTCGTTGGACTTGCATCTTGCTCACAGGTTCAAAAATACTAATTACATTTATATTAATTATTAACGAAATATTAAGAGAGAAAAAAAATAATTAATACATTCTAAAAAAATGATTTTCTTCATAGGGTGGCTTTTATTTTTTCCATCTACTCGATCGATACGCGGCAGGTTATTCTATGTTATTCGCAGTTCTTGCGGAAGCAATTGCGATCAGTTGGATATATGGTGCTGATCGTTTTTGTGCTGACATCAAAGACATGATCGGATTTTCACCAGGTCTTTATTGGCGAGTCTGTTGGAAATTTGTAGCACCGATTTTTATCATGGTAAGATTTTCTCTTCTCCCCCACAAATAATGATCTATCGATTTATTTCGTTTGTAAAACAAATCAAAAAATTATTTATTTTTGAGATAATATTAGGCTTGATATTTTTATTTTCCTAACAGTTCATCATCGTTTACGGTTTAATGGGTTATGAGCCATTAACCTATGAGGATTACGTATATCCATTATGGGCAAATGTAATGGGTTGGTTAATTGCTAGTTCCTCGATAATCATGATACCTGGTGTCGCAATTTATAAGATAATCGTCACTCCAGGCACGTTTGTTCAGGTAATTCAATTATTACACTTTCACAAATTGTATTAATTATTCATATAGGTCATTAAATTATTCGTTAATACGAACATGAAACATTGAATGATCCTGGATGTAAGTTTGAGTACATTCTATAAATTAATACTATTTATTAGGTCAATAGTTTTCTATATTTTTATTTAGTATTTATAATAAAAAATAAATACGTAACCTTAACCCTATTATAAATATAAATAAATTATTTATACTTATATATAACATTCACATATATATGTACTGACTATTTAATTTAAAAAAATTCAATATAAAAAAATGATATTATATATAATATAAAATTAAGTAAATGATTGCAGAGAATGAAAATTTTAACGACACCATGGAGAGACACTCAACAAAGGAACGCTGATTTATCATCGGTAGCAAACGGTGCTGTTCGTCGAAGTTTTGTTGCCGATCAAGATTATACTAACGCGAGCAAGGATAACAAAGAATTAACAAAAGAGCAAACTGAAGTGATGATTCAATCAAGAGAAGGTGTTGATGTCGATCCTCCACCAGAACCGGTCTAGGACAGTACAATCGTGGTTTTGAATGGTTCTCGTTTTAGAGAATATCTTTGCTAAAAAAAGGACGATTATCTTTGAACATGATTTACTTTAAAATTGATCTAATATGACTTACAATTAAACAGAAACAAAAGAAGAAAAAGAAGATAATAAATTAATGTTCTTTTTTTTCTTCTTTTAAACAAGCAAACAAACAAACAAACAAACAAAATGGACGAGCGATTTTGAACGCACTCACTTAGGCTTCACGATACAATGATATCTTCTTACTTGAGATTGAAAATAAAAATTCAAGTAAATATATAATATATACGAATTAAGTTATATATACGAACGATCTCAAATTACAAGCGTCGATTGTAAATATTATTATGATGCCGCGCATGTTGCAACGTATATATACATATATATATATATATATATTATAATGTTAGATTAATTATTAAAAGTAAATTTTAAATTATCGTTCGACAAATTTGGCAAATTTTATTGTACAACGTTGACGTTTGTGCATAGCTTGAAATTATTCGATTATTCATATACAACATAATACACAACATACATATATACATACATACATAAATTCGTAGATATGTGTAAGAAAAATGATTGCACAAAAAATATCTCGCGATTTCTGGCTACGAAAAAGTTCCTAATCGCATTATATATATACATATATTGATCGCGCGTTTTACTTTAAATCGAATTAAAATTGATTATACTCATCTAAATAAAAATTGTACTAGTAGATAATATCGATATCTCGTCTAACGAGATGAATATTTTTGTTGTTATATCTTCTTTCGTTTACGTTAGATCATCTCGTCTATAGATCGTATTAGATCTGGACGTATATGCTGTGTAGACTATACGCGTAAAATGATACCTTCTTTCTTTCTCTCTCTCTCTCACTCTCTCTCTCTCTCTCTCTTTCTCTCGATTATAATAATTATATTAGATATAATAAAATATACCACCGACGCACAACTTGAAAAAACGTCGGATGGAATTCGCACGGGTACGGTTCATTAAAACGTTCCGCTCAGTCCTCGTTAATATTAATTAAAGTAATGTTATAATACGTGCAATGATATAAGAAGCCTAATTCTATTTAGCCTAATTCACTATGATGTGTAGGAAATAATTATCTTTAATCTATTTTTATTTTGAAATAATTGTATATTTTATTAAAATAATTCAAAATACTTTTTTTATTTAAGAAATTTGTTTGTTAAATATATTTAAGTATATCTTATACAAATTCGTCGGGGGAGGGGAATTTGTTTTATTAAAAATTTCATATATGCACGAAGAAAGATTAAATTAAGAAAAAATAAATAAATATGAAGGACTAGCGGTATACTATTCGGAATAGATGCTAAGTGTTTTCGGACTTACCGTTGTAAGATCCATAGATAATAGTCTATGTGCATATATATATTTATGTATGATATAGTTTATAGTTGTTGTTAGGGGAATTATTATATATATATATATATATATATACACATAAATAAACATAATAATAATAATAATAATAATAATATATATTTTGTACATCGCATCTGAGTTGCAGCCTCAGCCATCGGTAGCAGCTCGGGCCTTGTTAATATTATTGAATAATCAAATAATAGACGAATCTTCTAATCGAGGAATGTCTTATCGTTAGTTAAAATATGAAAATACTCATTGCGAAAAGAAAAAACGTATCTCGCTCTCTCTTATATCATATATTACAATTAAAAACGTTTGTCATATTTTTCCCAGGTAATAAAATAAATACGTATGCCTATCCAAGAGCCATATTGGGCAGGCATTTGCGCCGTTGTTTGTGACCTATACGAAAGTATTTGTTCTTCATTTACGTTTTTAAAAATCCACATATATAATATATAGACGAAAAAGAAGAGAAAAAAATAAATAAATAAAAATACAAAAAATAAGACTGTCACACAAAGCCATGTAATAACTGCTGGTTCGTACTTGAATCTTCGTTTAAATAAAAGCCAACGTATAATGATGATATAACAAATGTAAAGCTCATTTTATTAAAATAAAATTTGTTTATTTGATAATGAAGAATATATTTCTATTAATTATTTTAGAAGAAAAAAACTTTGTTTATTTGTTAAAAAAGAATATTGTCTATGAATTATTTTTTTTTACATACTTTGGTCTTCTAATTTTTCTTACGATTGAATATTTGTTTTTAAATATTTCACATAATACCAGGTTTATTATTATTATTATTATTATTATATTTTTCTTTTATTTTGTAAAAAATTTTGATTTGAGTTTTCTGTATTTTTTTTTTATATTTTTTGTTGTTTTAATATACGAATTATCGAAATATATATTAAAAACATTTATCGAGACATTTTAGTAAGTATTAATATCGATCCAATCGACGACTTCGATTATTCGAGTAGTGACTATCGATTCCAGTCAAGATGGCGCCCTCCAAGGAAGGTCTAACTGATTTGCAAAAAGAAATTTTTGATAAAATTAATAAAAATGAAGTGTCAGAAATTAAAACGCTTTTGGCGACGAATAAAATTAAGGTTGAATTTGTCGATGAAAATGGTATGAGTCCGCTGCAGCATGCTTGTTATAAAGGAAATAAGGAAATTGTACAGATGCTTCTCGATCAGGTAGGTTAGAATGTATCCCGCCTTATTTACTTCTTCAGTTCATTTATTATTACGTTATTGGTTATGTTAATTCAAATTTGCTTGTTTATATATATTATTTCGAATATGAATTATACTTTGAAAAATCTTTTTTAATTTTGTTGGTTAGGAATCTTAAGTTTATTTTAAACGAAAGATAGCAACAGTTTATTCCCGAACTTTCGATTATTGAGATAAGTTCAGTTCTTGTTTGAAATTGTTTGGCTAATAAACATACATATACATATATATATATATATATATATATATATANTATATATATATATATATATATATTTGTTGATATGTTTGTAATAATACTTATATCAGTGTGTATATATGTATGTATGTTTATTAGCCAAACAATTTCAAACAAGAACTGAACTTATTTCAATAATCGAAAGTTCGGGAATAAACTGTTGCTATCTTTCATTTAAAATAAACTTAAGATTCCTAACCAACAAAATTAAAAAAGATTTTTCAAAGTATAATTCATATATATATATATATGATTATATTATAGATATGATATGTTTGTAATGATACTTATATCAATTGTATATGATCATTGAGTAAAACATCCTTTCTATTATTTACTCTGCAATTCAATGCATTATCATTCAAAAATGTATTTTAATACAGGGTGCTGATGTTAATGCGGGCCAACATGAACATGCTTATACGGCGTTACATTTTGCTGCTCTAAGTGGAAATGCAGATTTGTGTCATCTTCTAATGTCGCATGGTGCCCATTTGACAGCTACAAATAGTGTTGGACGTACACCAGCGCAAATGGCAGCATTCGTTGGGAATCACAATTGCGTTGCTACAATCAACAATTTTATTCCAAAGGCAGACATAGATTATTTTATACAAGTACAAGGTCTTCAAACAGAACCTATGCTTCCACCACATTTAGCGGATTCTTTTCATAAATTTATAATGCAAGTTAATGTTCATCCAGTTCGCGTAGCTATGAATTTTCAGAGATCGCCTGGTCTTTTAGAAAATGCGCATAAGGTAAGATTGATTAGAAATGCACATTGTGTGTACGAAATATATATTTGGGTAGCCATGAATTTTTTTCTATAGAAATAATTGTCTTTTTTTCATAGATTCAAAAAGTGTTGGAGGCTTTGCGTCACAGAGAGATGACTAGAGGAGCAGAAACAAATGAGGTTATGGCTTTTAAATATCATTATCTTAGTTGCGTAGTAGCGGAGATAATAAAATGTCAAAAGCGACAAGAAGCTATGAAAGCGGAGAAGAATGATAAAGACAAGATAACTGAAGAGGGAGAAGAAAAAAAGTCGGATGTAGTTGAGATATTCATTAGAAAGTTATTGAAATGTAATAAAAGCGAGGGAGTATCCGAATATCAAGAAGCTTTTCTAAGAGAATCAGTAAGAGAATTTCCATTTAGAGATAGTACTATATTTCGTCAAATGGTGGCTACTCTTGCGGGATCTGATCCACCTTATGCGGTATCAGTTGTATCTGCTGCAATTAATGGACAAAGAGGGTTTAATGATAATGCATTGATATGTATCACTTGTGGAGAAGAAAAAGCAAGTAAGAAGTGCAGTAAATGTAAAGCTGTACAATATTGTGATAGAGAATGTCAAAGATTACATTGGCCGATGCATAAGAAAGCGTGTGCAAGAGCAGGTCAAAACCCAAACCAAAATACAAAAACCTCAGATGTAGATAAAGAGCAAATAACTAATGTAAATTCAAAATCACAAAAATCACCAAATTAAGAATATTCATTGTTGATATATATATATATATTCTTGTCCAATAATTTTGTTTACAAATGTACATACATAGTTCCTCGTGCGTACGTGTAAATTTAAGCATATCTTGCATTTTATTAATTTAAGCTCTCACTGATGTAAGATTATATTCGCATACATGAGATGGACTATGTCTAATAATTTAGAAAAAAAAGGTTAAATAAGAGTCTTATTAATAGACTGTTTTGTATTATATATAATGTTTTATTTTAATTTTTTATTAATACATATTATTTCCTTATAGAATATATTTTTTAATTGTTGATTTGAGAATTTCATACGATGCATATGTGTGAATTAACCATTGATTTATATTTTTTCTTAATTTTCTTTTTTTTTTGGTAAATGTTAAAAATATTACAATCAAGGAACACGAATAAAGCACGATAAATTTGCGAAAATAAACTCTCGTGTTATTCGATCTAATTATTTCGTCTGCTTATCGTTACCTAGTCATTGTTGTTTACTTACAAACGTTATATCTATCTTCGAAATATATTTATCAACACTCGAACCAGTGTACTATATCATTAAGTGGTAAAGAAAAAAAAAAGACAAAGAAAGAAAAAGAAAAAGAAACATTTTCTTAGTTCTAGACGGCGTCAAAGGTTATGAAGTAGATCCCTACTTAAGAACTCAATTTGCATAGCACTTGAATTTCGTCGAAGATTTTTTAACGACACGATGTTTGGCGCCATGTTTACTGGCGCCAGCTGGTCGGTCACTCTTGAAAAGTTGACTAAAAAGGCCAACAGAAAAAGAATCATTTTAGAAATATCTTAGAAATACACCATCATCTCCGCCTACTTAAACGTTGTCCTTTTTTAGCCTCTTCTTTTTCTTTTCTTTTTTTTTTACATTTTTCTTTTTGTTACCTGCTACCATCGATCTGTTTCTAATCTATTAGTAATGGCGTCGCACCTTTTCTTTTTTTTTGGTGTTAACACACCTTTCTTTTCTATTAAACCAACTTATTTTATACATGCGTATAAACATATATATAGTATTTATTACGCCCATGTATATACATTTACAAGAGACTTTTCGTGCCGCTTTTCATTAAACTCAATGAAAGTCTCGTCTCGTCACGCCTCGTCCTTATTAAACAATTTTAAACATCGTAGGCGTGATTATTTTTATACTCGATATCATTGCACTTCCTAATAAAACGATATATTTAAAAAGAACAATTTCCGCGTCAAATTTACTAATCGAAAATCGTTCGATAAACTCGTAGCAATCTGTTTTTTTTTTTATAATTAATATTTTTTTATAAATTTCGATTTGATTCTTTTTTCAGACGAAACCAAATTTTATATATTATAGATACAGGTGTATCGTTTAAATACGGATAATTATTTATTGGATCAGTACTACATAGATTAATACAAAAACTCTATTATTTTATTTATTATACAATTAATATATTATATATATATTAAATGATATATTATGATTGTTTATATATGTGATTATTTTTATATTGATTATTTATAGTGAACAAAATATTCATGTGTATTTTACAAAATACTGATCAAATAAGTAATATAAATAAGTTTAAAAAAAAAAAAAATAAAATAAAATAAAAATAATCGAATTTTTAGCAAAATCTTTACGAACCTACCGAAGGGAATATCTTAATAATTGAAAGTATGAATAAGAAAAGTGGTCGGCTAGTGTTATAAATCAGACGACGCGTGGACAATTAGGGAGCTCGTTGGCGGTGACGAGCGGCGTAAAAGATTACAAGAAGAAGAAACAGAAAAAGAAATAGAAGAAGAAGAAGGGAGCAGTGTTCGTACTGGCGGCCCACTTTGTTCCTTTTTTTATCGCCAACCGGAAGTGACGCATCACACGTTTGCCGTAATATTCGTCGTACGACGTGTATACTTACTACAAGCTTTCCTTGAAAGGTTGGGTCAGTTATGTAAAAAAAACTATCAACAACCCTCATTGATCTGATATTGAATACATTTAATTTCAAGATTTTAATTTAAAAAAGAAAAAAAGAGCTTTATCATTTAACAATTTTAATCGTTTATTTATATGTTGTTTTTTCTTAATGGATTATTTAATAATTATTATTATTTGAAGTTTTCTTAAGTCATAAGATTTAGTAATTTTCTTTTCTTTTTACCAAATTATGAGATTTTACGTTGAATTCATCTTTTTTGGAATAATTTTATGGAATAGAGGGAGGTTTTTCTTCATAACTTGGTCTAATTGTACTTTGATAATTTTCAATAAACTATTTGTGAGAGACGAATATCTTAAAATTATACTCGAAATTGGATTTAATTTACATGAACATATCGTTTCAAATTTGATAGTACTATTGTAGAGTTTTTATGTGCTATCATCAAATTATACGATTGTTAAATAGTTTAATAACTTACTCTAATTTTATTATAAATCCTGATAAAATATCTATACAATAAATTTTTATTTAACTGTAAAAACTTTCACTAATACCATATATAGTCAACATACTTGTACATTTCCGAGATGACCATGGAATTTAAAACTTTCACTTTAAACAGTAAAAGAGAACTGATTACATAAATTGAAATTTTGACCTCGAATATTTCCAATAATAGAAAATAATTTCTTTTCATTTTTTTCCTCATTATATAATCGTTTATGTTCTAATATTGTTTCGAAAGTGTTCACAGTTTCTTGAAATATTATTTTTCTCCTTAAGATGTATTTCACTTTTATAATACTATTTTTATATATATAAATGACCTTTATTTTACATTTCTTATCCAATCAACCTTGTAAATAAAATCCTCGTTTGTTTAACATAGTAATTTAAAGTCAATAAGAATATATTCATTATTCCATTTGATAAACGATCAAGGCGATAATTTTTATACAGAGTGAAACGAGCGTACGGTAAGCGATACACGTTGCTTTAAACATGTCAGTTTCACTCATCAAATTTCAACGTCAAGATTATACCGGAGAAATCTTCAATTTATACGAAAGAAAGAAAGAGAGAAAGAGAAATTACAAGTTTACGTGATTTGACATGCAGTCGCTTTTTATTTTCATTTGTTTATTTTTCATTATTATCACATATTTAGTGATAATTCCGCTCTTAAAAGTATACAAAAGTAAAATACCATCATACATTCATTTTATTATTAAATACAATTTTTACACAACGATATTATAATCATTTATTTCCATTAATAAATACGAAAAAAGCGAGAGAAATACGTTTTTTTAGTTTTTAATTAATACAAATAAAATCAGTGTCGTTAATAATTCCCGTTGGTTGATGCGACATTAAATAATGCTATAAAAAAAAAAATAAAATAAAATCAGATATTAATAGTGACATTGCATACGATTTACATAATATTTATTTTACGATAATATTCATTACGTAAAGTACAAATACGAAAAAAAAAGAAAAGGGAAACAGGGTTAAGATTTTTATCTCGTGAATTAACAATCTTTTAAATACAAATTTACGATATAGATTTACGTAAATATTACACATACATATTTTATGTATCATATTTATATACATTATTTTATTATATACTTATATGTATATTTAAATAGTTTAAAGGTGCGGTTGTTTCCTTTCTGGTGGAAGTTCATTTGTATCTTTGTCAAACTACTTTATTTATCTTTCTCTTTCACAATTTTATTAAAGGAGAACACGAGTGGAAGAGGTAAGAGAGAAAAGAGGTAGAGAAGGCAGAGAGGTAACAGAGTAGACAAAACGGTATCCGATAGTATAAAGCTTGTGCCAAGGAAGAAGTTCAAGAAAGAAGAAGTCAGTTCATTCGATCAGTCTTCAAATTGTTTTCATGAAGAAGGGGTCGGTCACGGGACGATAAAGAAATGAATCTATTAACGAATTCGTTTACATTGCGATCTATCGCAATAACAGGATTTATTTTTATTGGAATTATATCGTTAGAAGCTAAAAAACCACACGGACCAATAGAAGAAGCTATACAGAACGGTGAAGCGAATAATTTTGTAAAAGAAAATTGTACTTGGAGACGTGGACATGATCCAAATTCTTGCCCTGATCCAGAAGTTCGTGTTTATTTGTATACCCCAGGAAATCCTAAAAGAGAACTCGATTCAAGGGAATCCGATTGGCTTAGACACGATTACGAACCTACCAGGGAGAATATTATTCTTATTCATGGATATGCAGGTGGTTGTAAATTTTGTTTATTTGTAAATTTATGTATATACATAATATTAGAATCATTTTAATCGTACTTCGATAGTAATTTACATGTCATGCATTATTAAAATGGTATTATTCTTTGTTTGTTTATTGTTATCAATTAAAACAAAAATATATTTATGTATATACATATGTCGTAGAAAATTAAAACCATTATGATCTTATTTAAAAATAATTTAATGAAAATATCGTGACAAGTATGGATTTTTCTTATTGATGATTATGCACATTGTTATTTATCATGTGTATTTTTCATTATCTTCATTTGTTTTTTTGCAAGAGAACAAAATGACACTATCGTAATTTTCAGGTGGTGATAACACATTACCAATCTCGGTGTTACGAGATGCCTATTTGAGGAACGGTAGTTATAATATTTTCTTAGTAGATTGGGGAGCATTATCTGCAGCTCCCTGCTATCCAGCAGCAGTATCTAATCTCCATCCAGTAGCTCGTTGCTTGTCGAGGACACTGACAATTCTAAGAAATCTTGGTTTACCTATTCAACGGACAACTTGCGTAGGACATTCTTTAGGAGCTCATGTATGTGGTATCATGGCTAATTATCTTCTCTTTCGAATGAATCGAATTATTGGTTTGGATCCAGCCAAACCATTGATTCGTCCAGGCCTAGTAAATAAATTGGACAGCGGTGATGCCGATTTTGTTGAAGTTATTCACACAAATGCCGGTTATTATGGTGAATCTAATCGTTTGGGTCACGCTGATTTTTGTATAAACGGTGGCAAAATTCAACCCTTTTGTAAGGATAAAGAAAACGATCAACTTTGTAGTCATGTTTGGGCTGTTTGTTTTATGGCACAGAGTATTGATAATGATGGTCGAGATACAATAGCAGAATCATGCTCGCGTAGATGTCCTTTTGGTCCCAAAATTGCACAAAGAGCTGGCGTCTATGTTCCTATGGGACAACATACACCTAACGATGTTAGAGGATCGTTTTGTTTCAATAGTTCATTACAACCTTATTGTCCAAAATATCAAAATGGTCATGGTGATGATAGATGTTGTTTACCGCCGAACAACGCTGATATTTCGTTTAAAAAGAAAAATAATGTCTCTATTAAATCGCAAAAGGATCCTGATCGTTCAAATTGAACATACACATCATTTTATTGAATCGAACTATACATATGAAACAGATACATACATACGCACACATTATAAATATACACTTTTTACAATCAATCTGTAAATCTGTAGAAAAAATTGTAAATTATCTATAAAATATTATTGTCGTATACGTACACATATTTGTGATAGATTTACTATACAGTTTGTTTCTTAAATATTTACATATCGTTTTCAAATAACATTCATATTCAATTTGAGAATAAAATCAAAACGAATGATATGTTATTCATAATTTTATTATTATTTTGTTAATTATTAATCGAATATTGTTAAATTGTAATAAAGATTTGGGAAACATTCTGTATAGAAAAGATTTGAAAGTATTATAGTATTAAGCTTAATTTAATATGCATTGTCGTGTTAACGATGAATCAATGTCAACGGGACTTCGTGAAGAAGCCGTAACGCATATGGTACGTAGAGCGCGTTTTGCGATTCCGGTGCTCGATTGAGTATTCAAACGATGTACAGGGAAAATCTTCTGGTTGACAGAGTAACCTTCTGTCTTAATACCGTTAGATGTTCTACTAAACCGTTTATAAATGTATCTAACAATAAAACGTTAATAGTTACTCGATATTTCGACCACGTCATACGTATTTGTTTTTTTGTTAAAAAAAAAAAAAATGTGAACTTCGTGCATGAAATAATAAAACAGAAAAATTGGAGTATGACAAATATGTGTAATAGAATTTTTCTAAACAAAAAGATAGAAAGATTAGTGTTAATATTAATGAGTCATTTTTATGGGCTGACGATGTTTAATTGTTAATCTTCACTGATTGTGAAGTGTCTTAAAAAACGTCGAAACTCAACAGGGGTGTGTAACGATTGTTAAACGATATGTTGAAAAAATTTGCATATTTTGGTTTTGTTTTTTTTTTTTTATTAAAAAGAATAACCAGAAATATTATATAATATAAATATAGATAAAAATAATTCTATATATACAATTATAAATAATTCTGTATATGTATTAGGTTGTCAAGTATGAAATGGGGCAAAAAATGCACATAATTGAATTCGATTTTGCCCCATTTCATACTTGACAACCTAATATATGTATCAAAATCCATCACATTTCACTAATATTTCAAATAATTAATTTTATTTTTCATTCATGCATATCATCAAAAAATAGTATATTACTCAACTAGGGAGCATACAGCATATAGACATGGGATGTCATACTTTTCTCCCGTGGTGAGTATATATTTTTTTCTCACACTGGTATCGAAAGTTCGCTTGTAATTAAATAATAATATACTAATTTTCTTCTTGGGCGAAAAGTGCCTACTTTTCTCCCGCTGCACCTGTAAGAAACGAAGTTGCCGCTTTCTTACTATACTGTCCTAGGTATGTAATATATTATTTTATTTGTTGTTAATTAATACATTTTGCGAAGATTATGCAAATTTAACAACAAGCAAGGGGTCCGGGGGCACAGCCCCCGGCGGGGGTTTAGGGGGCGGAGCCCCCCGGCGGGGCTGGGGGGCGGAGACCCCCACTTTAAAAAAATTTAAATATAAAAATAAAATAAAATATAAAATTAGATTCTATTAAAAATATAAATTATTGTTTCAGTTTAAAAAAATATTTTTTTAAATAAAATTTAATTAATTAAATAGGGAGTTTATAAATTATTATTATTGTGGGGAGTATTGAAAATCGAAGAGGTTGTGTGTGTAAGTCTGTGTGAGTCCAAAAAAAAAGCATTTAAATGAAATTCAAATCGAGAACGAAGTGATTGATTCTTTGACCTTCAATACACCTTTTGTCACTTTCAAGTATTGTGAGTTTAAACAGATTATAGTAAATAATA